TTTTTTTTTTTTTTGGTTTTAATGCTATGCCGTCTCTCCAAGCATCCCCCACCTTGGCTTTATGTTTCTCAGACCGGTCCAGAACCTTCCTGGCTGCTGGAATGGCGGGCGTGCACATTGTATAGCATATATTAGTGTTTTTTTTCTCTCATTGCTGTAACAAATATACCTGAAGAATACAAAATATAAATATAAAATATGCCCAAAGAAAGCAACTTAAGGAACAAAAAGGGGCTTATTTGGGCTCACAGTTTAGGGGTACAGGCCATCAGGGCCTGCACCTGAGGCAGCTAGTCACGTGTCCTCGGTCAGGGGGAGAAGAGATGAATCCCAGGGCTCACTGTGCTCTTCCCCTCTCCCCTTTTATTCAGTCTGAAACCCCGCCTTTACAGTGATGCTGCCCACATCCAGGGTGGACTTCACCCCTCAGTTAAGCTTGCCTGGAAACACCCAGAAGTGTATTTCTTACGTGATTCTAAATCTAGTCAGCTTGCTGAGAATTGGCCATCCCAAATGTCAACCCAGTCTGTTGAATGAATCAGGTCAGACAGCATGGTCTTTATTCAATTTGTAACTATTGTAACTTGGTATGAAGTCTGTGTCGAGGGTGAACTGATTAAATTCACAGGTTGCCTTCCAGGTCGGTTGTGTCGCCTGCTTAGGTCCTCTCTCTTGCTGCAGGGATCACGCGCGTCAGCACTCAGTAGCAGAAAGTGAAGCTAGACAGAGATCCTGCATAGACCCATTGTGCCCAGCTCGTTGTCATGACATCGAGACGCTCTGCAGATTATTCTCTGTGAGTCAAATACCGATTATAAAATTACCTGTGTCTCCTCTGCTTACGGTTTAGGTTTCAAGCTACTTGTCCAAAAAGTTTGCTGAACTGCAGAGCCCCAACAAGTTCAAGGTGTACATGGGCCATGGTGGGAAGCCCTGGGTGTCTGACTTCAACCATCCCCATTACCAGGCTGGGAGAAGAGCCCTGAAAACAGGTCAGTTGCCCTCTACAGGTGGATGCCAGGGTCCTGAGAGTGTCTGAGGCCTCTGGTGTAGCGTGTTGTACTCATGACATGTCTGTCAGTCGTGTTGTGAGCTACCCTGAAGTGTGGGGTGAGATCGGGGCCTGAGTCTCTGAGAATAGATCCTAAATGTTGCCAAGTGATGGCTCTCTGGCATCCAGGGCCCAGAGTTCACCATTTCTCTTTATTTTGCTTTCCCCAGTGTTTGGCATTGAACCTGACTTGACCAGGGAAGGAGGCAGTATTCCTGTGACCCTGACCTTTCAGGAGGCCACAGGCAAAAATGTCATGCTGTTGCCCGTGGGGTCAGCAGATGATGGGGCCCACTCCCAGAATGAAAAGCTCAACAGGTAAAGCAGGGACCTGAGGCCTGAGGTTGGGTTGCCTCCCCCAGCAGGCAGAGGGTCTGCGGTTGCTGCTTTTGTTCCATGTGGTCTGATAGTAAGACCTGATGAAAGGCAGGCGTCAGGCCTTTTTAGCGGCGTTTGCAGACAGGGTCCAGCTAGCATTCTCTGCTCCTCCTGCTGTTCTTGTGGCGCCCATAAAATACCACTTCGTTCTGAAACGTTACACCTGTCTTCACTGACTGCTCACGCCCCTTCACCTCTGACAGGCAGATATGCTGGGGCTTCCTCCAGCCTGCAGCAGGCAGAGAGTCTTTGAGCAGCAGGGAGGAGGGACCTGGGCAAGCAGGCTGCAGGCGGTGTGGGAAGACAGGAAGCAGAGAGCGGGTATGAGTCACAGCACAGAAAACTGCTTCCTGGGCTATGGGCTATGGGTCAAAGAGCTGGATCTTTAGAAACAGCAGAAACCCTTTCACTCCCAGGGCCTCAGTGAGATAAAGCCCAAGACCAGGGCAGGCCTGTAGTTAGTGGGTTCCCCCTACATTGGGGGCCCACCATCCAGCTCTCAAATGATACCCGGAGACTTAGTCTTACTAATGAATTCCCAGCCTTAACTTGGCTTATTTCTAGCCAGCTTTTCTTAAATTATCCCCTCTCCCTTTTGCTCTGGGCTTTCACCTTTCTCCGTTCTCCCTTTCTTTCCTGCTTACTCCGCGACTGATTGTGTGGCCCCCGCATCCTCTGCGCCTTCTCTTTCTTACTCCTCCCTCTTCTTTTTCTTATTTATTCTCCCTGCCTGCCAGGCCTGCCTTTTTCTCTCTCCTGCCTTGCTGTTGGTCATTCAGCTCTTTATTGGACCAATCAGGTGTTTTAGACAAGCAAAGTAACACAGCTTCAGAGAGTTAAACAAATGCAACGTAAAAGAACGCAACACATCTTTGCATCATTAAACAGATATTCCACAACATAAAAGAATGTAACTAGCTACTATTCCACAACAAGGGATTAATAACCAGCTAGTTATCGTAGTGAGGAATGGCCGAAGAGGGTGTCACACTCAACTTGTACTTAAGAACCAGCCGCCAGGCTGAATTTTAAAGCCACGCTTCAAGCTGGAGGAGGGTTGTTCTCTAGAGACCAATCAGTAGGAGTAGTCGCCGCCCACCTGGATATGGAATCCTCGGGCAGCAGCTGATAACTGGTCGGTGTTTGTCTTTTGTTTTGTTTCTCTATTAGGCACAACTACATAGAAGGGACCAAGATGCTGGCAGCTTACCTGTATGAGGTGTCTCAGCTGAAGAACTGAGAAGTCTCGTTTTCTACAGAGTG